GTTTCAATTATGATCACAAACTATAGTCCCTGTCAGATCCATGATAGATCTCATATATTCACTCCATAATGAAAACGTTATAACTACGAAACCGATTTTCTGAAACACTTGAACAGAACATACCAAGTTACAGTTCTTCGCTTACGTACTGGGCACTGCAGACGTTATATCTGCTTTGCACAGTGACGCTGTACTGTTCCTTAATTTCTTTATCCATTTTAAATGTTCCTACATATAACTTATTATTCTCCGGGTCTACTGTATAGTCTTAAGTGTTATTCTAAACTTTCCTATAACTGGAACATGATCACTATAGCAGTCTGCTCCGGTTCTAGTCTGTGCTTCAATTAAACAGCTCCTAAGTCTTTTTGAAATCATTATCGTCAGGACTTTGGTAGTGTTTAAACTATGTGTTACCAATTATCATGCTATGTGACTCCGTCCCAGCTATTTATCTTTCACCCCTCTCATTTTTTCATCTTAGGTCATAGCCACCAGTTACCTAAACTCACTTGTTCATTTTCAGTTTGTAAATCATCCATTATTATTGTTGTCACTTTAAAAATTATTGCACTAATCAAAAGTAAAGATCCCTTTACACGCCCTTAGGCGCATCGGGCATATGGGAAGAGCACGACCGACTGAAGCTGACGGGCCTTGCTGCTGACGTCACCGGGTCGGGCTAACGATGCGTTAACGCAGCGGTTCTCAAACAAGAAATAAACTATTTTCGACAGTGGCGAGGGAAGACAACTTAAATTTTAAAATATCTACATGCGTTCTTTAATAATTTCACAATTTTTAACCGACTTTTCTTGATTTAGCGTTAACGCGTCGTTAGCCCGTCCCAGGGACGTCAGCAGCACGGAAGAGCACCCATATTTTTACCGACAGATCGGCACTCGGTGGGTAATGTGGTCAGCATTACGCCGGCCGTCTTTACTTCCCAACATAGCTCATCCTGGTACCCATTTGAGGCTGTGTCGACCTGCAACGTCCCATACCACGATAAAAATCCACGCAGCCCGCAGTGGGTTTCGATCGCGGTACGTTGGATTAAGAGTCAGACTCGCAACGCCTTAAGCCACGGACGCTGCCACTAATCAAAATCAGTGTCTAAATCATTATAAAATTCTTCAATGTCACCCTCTGAGCTTTCTGCAGTTGCAGCATAACCTGTACTAAGTTTATATCAAGTGGTTTATTATATAAAATGATAGATATTTACTAATAGTACCCTGTCTAAAATATTCCGATATCCTTTAACACCATTTTTATATCCCCTCCCATCTGAGTAAATGATTTTGTGTTTATCTGAATCCTTTTCCCCTGCACCTCGCCAACGCATTTCAATAATTCCTAATAGTTTGATATTCATTCTCTCCATTTCCCTCTTGGTGTTGTCCAACTCTCCGGTTTGTATAGGTGTGCTGACATTCCCTGTACCAATGTTTAGGATGTTACTGGCGCTTACTTTCTCTACAGTTGCTGGATGACGATGATTTTCACCTGTAGAACATGCTGCTCCCTAACGGACAATGTGTCCATTAGAGCTCCCATTAACCTCCTTGTCTGAATACGATTGGTTTAAAGGCATGATTTATGAGGGAAAATACAGCGGTATAGACACATACTCTGCAAGGCATCATGTTGTAGGGGTTATAATGGCGGCCTCTCACCCACCGACGGCCCTGTCACGGAGTTTTGAGGCATTTTATAGATCTGGCTAACCCACTAGCTTGCTCGCCCCCTCTCGGTGACTACCACCTGGTTTGGTACACGGCTGTCTATTCAATATATTCGCGGCTGACCTCTATATCTAGAAGCCGATCTACCATCCGACAACTCTGGCAGTTGGACAGGCTCCTACCCTAGGACCGACAGTGTTGCCTTTTTCTTTTTCGTGTTCACCAGCTGTAAACACCGGTAGAAAGTGTAATCTGTGTGTCCACTTCTGGACTTGTCTTTCTTGTTCCAGAGCCTGATTTTGGTGTGCACATCCGGACTATTTGTATGCACACTGTTGGCTCTTTGCCTCACAAGCAGATGCATTTCGACTGAACAAAACCCTACTTAGACGATATGTTTGTTAGCAGGTTAAAACCTTACTGCTCGGGGGTGATAAAAGAAACGGTTATTGTGCGTCGATTAATCATTCCGGTTATTCTGTGTCGATATACGATTCATAACAGGTATGGGGAAATTGTCTGTGGTCTGAAATAAGACATTCCTTTACACTTTCATTATATCTAAATATATATAGATAAGTTCTCAGTGAATGGACACAAGCCGTCGGGTTTTGTATGCACTAATCAAGTATGAATCATCCCAAGTGTTATGTTACCAGGGAACGTTAAGTAGGTCGGCTTCTCCTACAGACTTACTACTGGAAATCTAACAGGTGTGATTTCATTTACCTCAGCGCCGTCATCACGTTGAAAGATGACTGCAGTGATCTAGATCATCTGTTTGTCCGTCCATTCACGAACAACTCGAGTAAGACGGAGATGTGTCCTATCATCGCTGTTCATCACATTCATCGACAGTATATGCAACGATGCCCAGGAATGAAAATAGATCAACGAATTAATCTTTGTTGGTGGCCAGGTCTTCGTAGAAAATGCATTATAAAATTGCAACAGCATCAAACATATTTGAATAAGTAAAAAGTAAAAGTAAAGACTCCTTTAGCCGTATCGGGCATTTGAAAAGAGCACCCCTCTTTTTTACAGACCAATCTGCACTAGGTGAGTAATGTGGTTAGCATTACGCCGGCCATCTTTAAATGAAAAAGAATATAAAACAAGAATCAACGTTCAAAAGACAGAAGTGACGTCAATAGGAAGAAGGAAGCAAGAACTAGATATAGCAGTAGAGTGCACAGGCAGTTTGTATATGTGGAACATTCAACCAAGAGGAGAAAATGGATAAAGAAATTTAACATCATCTGCAGTAAAGCAAACAAATTATTAGGGCAGCTAGCCCCATTTTTAAAAATTAAAAAAGCGTAAGATAATCCCTATCAGCACAAAGAACCATCTCATGCAAAGCACGTTGATTCATACCCTCTGCTGTCAGATATGGTCGCTCACAATAAACAAAAAAGAAAATTAGTTACCATGGAAATGAGATGTCTGCAGAAGAGATCAAATCAGTAAACTGATATTTAATTGTATATGCCTTTTTGTCACAACGATATAATGCTTCTACCGTACAGATCATAAAGCATTTCTGTAGCCAACTTAGTGTGGTCGAATACATCAATGACAAACTGCATTTCTCGTGGCTTTTTCTCTTGACAATAATGCTACTACACAGATCATAAAGCAGTTCAGAAAAACGAAAATTATCTACACATCCATGTTGTTACACCAGGTCTTAAGGGGGGCCACCATTATAACTTCTTTAGAGGGTAAACTGAATATCGAACCTGTTACCTGCCTTCTAGATCAAGATTCATTAATCGCAGGCTATCCGATCTTCAGCGACCAGGAGGTGGTCGGTGGGATGGAAATTACCACTGATCAACAACCTAAAGCTTCATATGTGAAATCTAATCATAGCATTGCCAGTCTGTCGGGCGTGCAAACCTCAAGCACACGACAATGTACAAAGACAGCAGGAGTGGGAAGATGGTGGGGCGCTACAAACTACTATGTAAATATCACCCGGCAAGCTGTGTCCAGTGCAGCACAAAATGTTCTAGTTGCTTGGGTGGGGGGATTAGAACGACTAGCTCCAAAAAAAGCATTCATTAAAGAAAATTAGGAGTCTCCTGGATTAACCACATAGGACCTCACATGTGTATCCCTAAGAGCTTCCCTAACTATAACTTCTTACAGGGTTGAACAGGGTATGTGTGATCTGCAGTTCAGATTAAGATTTTAGAAACGTTTAAACTATTGCGTGGCATCCCAGAGGCGACAGGATATGAATAACCAGCAATCTGCATACAATGAAACCAGATGTGTAAAACGGCTGTGTACATAAAACTCACCTTCTGGGTTAGGAAATGTACAAACAACCAGAACTTTTCGCTGGAGTTTGAGATTGGTTAGGAGCTGGTGATCATATCTTCAAATATGCCAGGCGGTCTGACTGCCTCAATTTCATTCCTGGATATGGGACCATCGGTCTCAGTATATGGGTATACAGAAGAATAGGTCACAGTTTATGGGAACCAACTCCTGGCAGAGAGTTCTGGTTGTTCATCCACTACTGGACTACACCTGAGTGGTGTGTGCGCATGTTTTACAGATCTGATTTATATGCAGACTGCTGGTTTCTTGCCTCTCAGGCAGATACACTCAAAGGAAGCTCCAAATAAGTGGGCTTACAGCGTGCTTTTAGGTAATCAGTAGGTCTGTTCTTGTTTTCCCTATAACAGGGCCCCAGAACCCACACGAGAAGCAGAGGTTATGTAAGGACTACAAATGAGAAGAGAACTGATTAAAAAAAGAGACGGTTGAAATACTTTGACCCCATTAAAACACACACAATGCTTCTGAAAACCATACTGGAGGGAATAGTCAAGGACAAGAGGTGGGTAGCAATTCAAGAGGGAGGACAAAATTATAACTGTCGGTGCTGATTTCTAGACACATTTGTATTCTGAATATCATCTATATTGAAATCTGTGCCCTGGGTGCAATTTACATGTGAGTTAGTTCAGGTATATTGAACTATTTCTCTGCTGAATAAACCACCTAATCCCAAAACTTTTAGATAGAACTGTGTTAACTGTCAGTCAAGATATTAAGTCTGTATGCAAATTGTTTATGTGTGTATGTTATTCTTTCTGGTCTCTTGTGCATTTATGGTGAAATACTCTTAGGACAAAGCAATAGTAAAAATCTTCACCTCAAACACATGGGTTGCCTAAATAAGTACACTCATTACATTATCACTTTTTTTTTGAAGAGGACAAAGTACTATCTAATAAAAATAAAAACAATTTGTATCTACATATTCAAATTTATTTAGCTTCAAACATGTCTTGTTTATGCTGCATCAGCAATAGTCACCTCAACTTCTACTCCTGGTTCGATGCTGATTGAAGTCTGAGATTTGAATTAAGGAAACATTTTAGACAGGATGAGCTAGTACGGTACTTAAGGTCGGAAACATACACCTTTTAAAATGTTTAGACACTAAAAGCTAAGCATATAATAAAGTTAAATATTTCAGCATTAGTAAAACCAAGTAACGGTCACTAACGTTGTGAAGTTGTCACCTTCGATGACAAGATCTCAGAAAGGCAAACATAAGTAAAGGAATAAAAATGCTGAAATGCGCAAGCAAAATGATAAATCTGTTGACAGCTAAACAGTAAAAATGAAGAAAAAGAGAAAAAGAAAGATGGCATTTCAGGTAGTCTTTGTTCTGTCTGCATTTTCCATTTAAATAGTGGTTTGCAAGTGTTTTACAGCTAGGCTGCATTTGCAGCCAATTTCAGAAAACCCATAATTAGCCACCTTATATGACTTTGTGATCTATTTTTCAGCCAAAAACTACACAGGGTTTAGGTTGACTCACAGAACCCTGAAACTACCACTCAAAATGTAAGAAGGAACTAGATCTGACTCTGAACCCTGTGAGGATGTACTTAGAATAATGACACCAATACGTGCCAGACAGCTCAGCACTGACAACACAGATGCAGGATGACTAAGAACACATGACTGGACCCAATGTTTTCCTGTGCCATTTCCATTTGGTGACACTATTGTACGAAAGGCAAGCAGCAGGAATATTATAATCTAAATAGCATCATGATTCTGTAGCCACCACAACTTACTTAGAAATTAGATGGACAAAAAAGGTAATTTATCTGTCTAGCTATATACAACCATGTAACAGCTGGTATCATTCAGGTTGACAAGAGCTGACAAAATTTAAACAGACATAAAAAGTAAAGATTTTGGTTTTAAGGTTAAACATATATACTAAGTGTAATTTAAAAAAAAGCATTTACAAAGAAGTGCTTTTACAGCACAAAGGATACGATCTGCTTCACAATCTCAGAGGGACTGTGCAGGTCAATGATGCGCTTGTGGATTCTTAACTGGTATCTATCCCAAGTCTTGGAACCTTCACCACAGGGGGTTTTGCGTGTTGTAATACGCAAAATTTTAGTTGGCATGCGCACCGGCCCTTTCACTTTCAGGTTCTTTTCCTTAGCACCTTTGATGAGGTCTGCGCACACTATAATGGAAAAAAAAAAGAATAAATGTGATAATTAGTAACATAACTTGGTCATAGTAATTTAAAAAATTAATGTCAGATTAAATGCAAGATCTACAGCTGGTGAGATAAGCCTGTACTTAAATAATGCATACAAACTGCCAATGTGATTTCAACATGTGTAAGTTGTAAGTGATGTGTAAAAGGAAATATTCCATTAATTCACCTTAAACATAAGCAGGCTCTGTGGTGGTTAAACAGGTCCATAAACAAGGTCGATGACAGTTTCAGTGCGCTACTGATTGTTGGCTTATATTGGTTAAACCGACCTGGCAGGGATCTAGAGTTTGTGGCCATACAGAGATGCAGTGAAACCCTATTGCACGTCGTGCTGATGAAGTGAGGTGCCCATTTGTGCAGGGATCAGTCTCAGCTCAGGTCAAGTCTACAAAACGCAATATACAGTCGAGCAGTCATTCCTTGGATGAGCCTAGTACTAGTGTCATGCATCAGCTCTGCAGTATAAAAGCCTTCTTAGACATGGCAGGTAATGCTGCCTTTTGTTGAGGACTGACATATGCCCATGACGGCTCTAAAAAAAAGAGTCCGCTAGCAACACAACATAGATTAGGTGAAGTCACCACACATCTACAAATGCCCCGTAAAGCCTAAAAGAAGTTAAATGTGGAATTCAATGCCAGAAGGTACCTTTATCACAGCTATGCTGAAAAAAGAAACCACATATTTGGACTATCCCCCGAATAACGGGCACTTATGGTGGCCGCAAAACACCCTAACAGAGCCTCAGTAACATGTCAATTGCGCACTTTTGGCGACATAATTTGCAGACTTCCGGCACCGCAGGGAGTATCTCCCACACCACTGCGCAGATCAGGGCTAAAAATGGCTGAAACTCACGGGCAGCAGCTTCCGCATCTCCTGCAGCTTTGCTTGTGAGTCCCAGCCATCTAGTTTTACCAAATTATATTTTTATCTAATATAGATATCTTTCTGTGTTTAAAAAAAACACACGCAAAAGGCTTGTATGAAGCTATTTAAATGTCCATACCTTTCTCCAGACTTTTCACAACCCTGCTGGTCAGGGTGATGCGAATCCTGTGGATTGGTGCTTCTTCTGCTGCAGTTTTCAGAGAGCTATCCTTGCTAAAACCAGACTCCTTGAACGACTGCAAATAAATTTATTAACTTTTGTTTAATAATTACCCAGTTTTAAACAGGAGCACTATGTATAATATGTATATGGCTGATTGATCAAAGCATACAAATGTTAAGTAGTGATGCAGTATGACCTGCGTGTAAAATGGGCAATCAGTGTGGAACATCACATTTCCATGTGTCGGTTCCAGTGTGCTATTGGCTAGAAACAAGAATAGACTCACTGTCTACTCTTCATTTGAGAACATCTGCCTAAGTGGTGATGAACCAACAGTCAGCATATAAATGAGTCAGATCTGTAAAACAGATGTACACACAAATCAGGGTATGGAACAGAACTAGCATCTGGAAGTGTATGAACAATCAATTTTTTCTTCGCTGGAGAACACAGAAGAACATGTCATTTTAAATCTTAGTGCCAGTGTCTCTAATGTTTCATGTTTTAAAATTAGCATGTGTGCGCAAAAAAAAAAAAGGAAATCCAATGCTGCAACTGGGCATACTGGGGGAAAAAATGTGATTTTTGATATGCACTTCTCTTGATTTTGTAACTAAGGCCTTTACAAATCCATATTCAACACAACACGATCGTGGCGCAGTGATTTATGTCACAGGCGTGAGGGGAAGTTAAGTCCAACTTGATGTGTATAAGGAGATACTCCGTACGTCACTCGGGCGCCAGTCCTTTACTATCCTGGTTGTACGGAACCTCACGCAAGACCCCTACAGCACGTCCTCGTCGTGCGCCACGGATAATGTCTCAAATGAGCATTAACAGAGCTGTCAGGGGATCTCGGAGTTCGGCGGCCCCCAGAGGTGATGTGTCCTTGTGGCTCTCATCAACCCGCCCCCAAACGCTTGGGTGAAAAATGTTACCAAAACTCATTAGGAACATGAGTAGGTCTGCCAAACATACAGCCAAAATTACAACCCTTGGTTAAAAGACTGCGGAGTAAAGAGAACATTGTTCACTGCACATCCTCTGTTAACCCTCAGTGTCGTCACTGCGCTGAGGTACACCACAACAGCAACCATCCATAGGCTGGCCATCCTTGTACATCCTCGGTTAACCCTCAGTGTCGTCACCGCGCTGAGGTACACCACAACAGCAACCAACCATCGGATGGCTAAGCCTAATTGTCCGACAAAACTAGATCATACGGATCAAAATCTGACCATCAAAATTTGTATTGAACTGAAAAAGACCGAATGTCCACACCCAAAGACCCCACTCGCCCGAGTGTTGGGACAAAACTGATAACGATATGCCTGATGCAGGATGTAAAATTCTGTCGGGCTAACGGCTCGTCAAAGAAATCTAACGTGCGAGGAAAAAAAGAATGTACCTATCTGTGTGGTCACAAAAGTCCAAAACCCACGGGCTGCTTCCCGCTGACTTCCAGAAGGCGCAGCCCCTGTCGAGCGGGAGGCCTGATACGGTTGTGAGGTTAAGCAGTCATGTGCAGGACGTGACGATTCCTTGGGTGAGCCCAGAACCAGAGCGCCATGTGCCGGCTCTGCATGCATGGAAGCCTCCTTGGATGGCGGGGAATGCCCATGATATGCCCCTGCCTTCCCTTGAGGGCTAACTGTTCCACAGGGGGCTGTCCCAAAGGGGTACTCCGAGGGCAATACCTGCGGCGAAGGGGACAAAGTTGACACCACACAAATCAGGCAACGTCACGACCCACACAAAACAATGGCCAGTCAACCTAGAAATAGGCCTGACGTCTTCCTTCGAAGTCGGAGTACAGCTGCCCATGAGGCAGGGAAATGAAAAACGGTTGTACACGCAAAAATCAGGTCCAGGTGAAAGCCAAAAGTCCAAGCGGACGATTAACCGGGACCTTCCACTGGAATTCACAGCCGGTGATCGATTAAAAAAAAAAAAACAGTCGGTCCAGCGGCGCATGAGCTTTCGCCCTTTGGCCCAATATTCAACACAAAGATTACTATCTGCAATATTTACAAATGCCTGTGGACCCACAACATTAATGTCAGCAATATTATAAAGTGTTCAGTGCTTTTCTTTTTCAAATACAAATAATCTTAGGTTAGAACTGAAACGACATAAGTTTGCATACCAAATTATTATTCTTCGCATTCACCAGCTGTAAACTCTGGAGGAATGTGCTGATTGTTTGTCCACTTCTGGACTACAGCCCTCTTTCAGAACCTTTGTGTTGTGTGTGCATTCGTCTGACAGATCTGACTAATTTGTATGCAGACTGGTGGTTACTTGCCTCTCAGGCAGATGCACTTCGACGGAAGCTCCCAATAAGACGACTCTTACGACAAGCTTTTGGGTAGGCAGTGGCTGTAGTCGTTTTTTCCCTTTTACAAGGGCCCCAGAACCCACACCGGGTGCATACTAAAATTGTTCATAGTAACCTTGTATACAATATTATATGCTGGTGACATGTTACTGGGAACACACTAAGATGGGGGACAATGAATAAATGCAATGCATTTGTGCTATTTTTAAAATAGGCCTAAATTCAAAGCATTTTCACCAATCTTTATTTCATAAATTGTGTATTTCAACTCTTTTAAGTTTAGTGAAAATAGTTGTTTCATAATGCAGTCCTTTGTGTTCAGGGAATGGGAGATTTTAGCTCTCCTCTAAATTACGGCCGGTTAGTCAGAGTTCAGTCCCTTGGCTGCAGTGCAATTACAAAGTGGAAAAGAGAGAACGAAACAAATAACATAAATACTGTGTGTTGGCGATAGACAGCATGCAGTGCCATGCTGTCATCATACGGCTAGGGTTTGGGGTATGGTTAGGGGTAAGGTTACGCTCATTAGGGCATACAGATCCTCAGGTGTCACATCTATGGCCACTAAGTCTTGCATCAAGAACGCAGTCGCTAATGAGGAGCCAATTCGACGTTACTTTGTTTTGTGATTCGTACCTTCTTAACTCCGTAATTGCACTGTAGCCAGGGAACTGAACTCTGACGAACCGGCCGTATTTTAAAGGAGAACCCATTTCCAACGATTTGCATTTTTGTAAAAAGATTATGTGGCTTTTTGAGTTAGACGTTTAGCCATGCTGTATCAGAAGTTCTTGGTGCAAAATAGCAAACAGCGATTGCATTTGCAGAATTTTTTTGGCTCTACTTTGAACTTTTAAATAAAATGGCGGCCGTAATATGATGCCGTTCGAAAGAGCTAAATTGGCCAATTTCTGGCCATAAAATATCTGGAAATATCTGAATGGGGCTCAGTTCTATCAAAAATATATGTGCCGACCCCGCATAACGAAACAAATGCTCTAACAAGTTTCGGCAATACGTTACTTCAAATACTTGCTGACCTGCTTCTGCGAGTGTGCCTTCACCGCCGACCGTATACCCCTACGTCGCTGCGCGGATGGGGACTAAACTAGATGGCTGGGACTCACGAGCGGCAGCTACCACATCTCCTGCAACTTCCTCCAATTACTTTACTTGTGAGCCCCAGGCACCTAGTTCCCCCCCCCCCAGCCTTTTTTTATAGTTAGAGCTCACGTCCAGAATTATTTAAGCACCAAAAAAAAAAACTGGTGAAGAGTCAGTGTTTTTTCTGCACCAATCTACTACAGTCCCTTCACTTGCTCATAAGCCATTCTATCCTTGCTACTGCAGCTCTCCCCATCTTTTATACTTTTCATTGCAGTCCCATTTGTTTTTGTTTCATCCTTTATTTCTTGTCCCTGTAGGCTCCAGTGCAAAGCTGGAAGACTTGCCAATTAAATTCTCGGCTCTTCTTTAAATAACGGTCGCTAGCTGAAAGGCGACGGTCGCTTTGTCGGAGTTCACTCCCTTGACTGCAGTGCAAATACGGAGTGGAAAAGTCACGAATCAAAAACATTGTGGATAACACTTAGACAAGTCGCCATAACTTGGGCCCTAGCCGCGCGCTATTGCTGTCATATTTAGGAGAATTCCAGTGGCGTCACTCCCACAAGCAGCACATTGTCGACCATTATTTAGAACTCCTGCATCATTATGGGTAGGTACTCGACGCTACATGTGTTACCCTAACCTAAACCCTAAGCAACCGTAGCATGACAGGTAAGTATGTTTCGTTCCCTCTTTACCACTCAGTATCTGCACTGCAGCCAAGGGAGTGAACTCCGACTAAGCGACCGTCGCCTTTCAGCTAGCAACCGTTATTTAAAGGTAGGGACTACAGGTTCGGAAATTTGCGATCTTTTCGACAATTTCCGTTACCATGGAAACCGTTTGAAACTTGTTTCGGAAATGTCAGCTGGGGTTTCGGGATGGGTCCTAATCTCTCATGAAATTTTGTGATTGGTGTGATTTTCACCCACTCTAAATGGCTGAAAACAGCGGGAAGGAATCCGATTAACAGCGCATGTCTATGACAGTCGGACGTCCTGTTTTTCTGTTACATCAGTTTGATTGATTAAAGTTTTTCAAGTTGGCTTTAACTGTTATTCGTCCTGGTAATGCTAGTTATAACTGAATTCTCTGTCCAATTTTACATTTGTGTATAAAATTTCTTACTGAACAGTGACTTGGTAGATGTACAGTGACATTTTTCAGGCAATCGCTGGCTCAGCCAGTGGCTGTGTCTCATTGCCTGCCATCTTGTCCAATGACAGTCCAATGTAAACAAAGCCGATACAGAACTGCGCAGTAGGTTGCGCAGAGAAAAACTTCTTGTTTCTGGGTCACAAGTTTTAGCGGCTGTTTTCTACATCTCATCTCCACAAAAACCTACATATCTCAGCTCAGAAATGACATACAAGCCTAAATGAGGTACCATTGGAAAGAGATTGTTTACAGCTATCTAACTGTGCTGGTTTTATTGGTGTAGAGGGCATTTTAAAAATTTTACTGAAGTAGCTATTAAAGGAGAGCCAAATTCGCAGGTTTCTGCGCTGGCACCAGTTTATGAGTTTATTTTAGTTCAGTCGAGATTGGATAAGTAGAAGTAAGTCGCATGGACCTAAGAAAAGACATATTTTTAAAAATTCTTTAAAAGTATGAATAATTTTAACTTTGTATATCCCCTGCAGTAACTGACGTTAAAACCCCAAAATTAACTTGCCATGTGCGACTTTTATCGAAAATAGGGGGTATTCGTATAAAAAAAATATATACAACGTAATCTTACATAAATAAAGAATTACTTTCATTCTGCGCATGGTGGTATATTAATAACAAATTAAAATGTCAAATTTACCATTTTTCTGCTATCTGGCCGACTTATTCGAAAGAATAATCAACAATCTTTGAACAGCGGTGAGCCAGCTGCCTGTCTTTCTAACACGTTAGATTGAAAAGGAAGTTGACAGAGACTTCCGGTCTGTAGCTGGAACGGGGTTCATCATCATCATCAAGTGCCAAGTGGGCTATCATGCCCCTCCATAATCATTAATTTCACATACCTCGTGTGTCCCGTCCGCCCAGAACTGCTACTATCTGTTTGTACCTGTCGCACTCGTCTATATTGTGCTCTATTGTTTACATTGTGTTTTTGTGTAATATGTATGTTTCAAATAATCAAAGCAATGTTTCCCCGATGTAAATTTGAACAAAGAAGACACAAACAATAGACTGCACAATTTATTGCCTGGCATATTTCGCTGTATCTCATCAGGTACATACTACAGTAACAATTAATTAAAATGAAGCAAATAGCTGAATCATAGAAACTGAAACACAAACACCCTGAAACACCCTACGTTTACCTTGGTGAAACAGTTTGAAATCTACTCGAATTTGTGTTTCAGTTTCTAGGATTCAGCTATTTGCTTCATTTTAATTAATTGTTACTGTAGTATGCACCTGATGAGATACAGCGAAATATGCCAGGCAATAAATTGTGCAGTCTATTGTTTGTGTCTTCTTTGTTCTAATATGTATGTGCTGAAGAAGGCTCCGTAGCCGCCACGTTAACGGTGTGTTTGTGCTTGTTATATTGTGAAGCTCACTTATATACTTTTCGTTTGGTTTTAAATCTTTCCATGATATTTTTACATACATCGTGTGTCCCGCCCGCCCAGAACTGCTCAAGAGCGTAGTGCGTTGATGATATCTGCTCTGTAGCCAACATTGTTTTAATGTAGAGATAAGGTGGTTCTCATCCGAATGGTGGCACTTTGTGTCACGGGGAATTTATCACTGGTTGTGCGGTCCTGGTAGGGTTGAACATCAATCGTCCATTTAAAGTTAACCAGATCAATCTATCTTTGTCCACTGAAGAAAGTAAACTGGTATTTATGTGTTTCTAAAACCGCGCTAGGTATCCTACGGAGAATAGTGTAGTCAAATATCAAGACTGTCGCTTCTAATTTCCAAAATATTTCCCGTACTACTTTCAGGTTGGATCAACTAGGTGTTCAAATGACTTATAAAAAAATCCTATCCTCGACGAGAATCTGAGCACTATGTAATCGCGCTGTCAGATAAACGCCCTAGGCACTGTGATGCTGTGGCTTCCCAGTCACACATTACCCGCAGAAACAATTAATAAACATAATTACCGTCTAAACATATGATGAATTTATCTACCCCACAAATAAAGTAGTAGAAGCAGCAAAAATAGTAGTCGTAGCAGCAGCAGTAGTAGTCGTAGCAGCAGCAGTAGTAGTCGTAGCAGCAGCAGTAGCAGTGTCACAGCAGTAACTTCCTCTTCTTCTCGATATACCCCAGTGTAGCTGATTCTTAACCCTCTCATGCAAAGCCGTCCTATCCTTGGCTTTAGCATGCAGCTCACCCCATGTCCTATCCTTGGCTTTAGCATGCAGCTCACCCCATGTCCTATCCTTGGCTTTAGCATGCAGCTCACCCCATGTCCTATCCTTGGCTTTAGCATGCAGCTCACCCCATGTCCTCCTCATATTTTAACCTCACTCTCTATCTCCTTTCTCTTTTTTTTTTAAAACAGTTTATTTATATGTCACTGTGTTTTCCAGTGTAAAGTCCTTTAAGTTATATTGTTCTCAGGTTTCCTCAACGTCTGTCTCATCCAACACCAGCGTCTTTTACTTAGCTCTTGATTTACTAGAATTTGTTTAGTTCTTTCCCAAAGCTCCACAATAGTTAAAGGTTAAAGTCGAGATGATCGACTTCATTGCTCCGGGCTTTAACCCATAAAACGCTGTCTCTATCCGCATAATGACTAGCTGTCTGCCAAGAGTGTCACACAAAACATGAAATCTGTAGCTCTGGCGACGATCCTAAAAAGTCTTAGTAAAAATTGTCACTCATGAACTGAAAGACAGCCTTAAAACTAACTCACGACCTTCAGAGATGAGGCACATAGCTTGACCACTTTTAGCTTTAGATCTGTGCCCTCAGCATCCGGCGCCTGTGGACCACGTCCATAAATGAACTGGAAAGGCTGACGCATCTGCGGTACAGTCAATGTAGCATGTAAGAGACAGTGGCACCCAGCAACATGCAGAACGATGTCGAATGTCTATAAACCGCACATTTTTTAGGAAGAGGGGTGGGGTTATGAGGTACTATGAGCGCCGCCCCCACACCAAATATGTAACATATGTGAAAGAAGTAAAATAATACCCCCACCCCCCCCCCACCCTCCAAACACGTATAGACGTTATCTTTTAAAGTTTAATAACATTACACACATTAGATTAATTCAATTATATGATTATTATTTTTTTTTTTTTTGTCATTTCATATATTTTATTACTTTTAAAGCTTTAAGCAAGGACTCGGTTCCTTTTGGTCCCATCCACTCTATGCATATTTAAGGTGGGGGGGAGCTCACTTCAATCCTAATGTTTTCTTTGTTTCGTTGCTTCTAAAATCATCTCATGAAAAAAAGGTTGAATGGTCTTTGAGTAGGGAGATTATGGCGAAACAACCGTAGAATGTGAAAGTAAATAAATATTGAATAAAGATCCGGATACTATACTTTGGTTAGTTGCGTATCCTTTAAGGACGTTGCAGAACCAACCCCAACAGGCCCTGACTGTTCTGTGGTTTTTCTAGGCAAATTCACGTCCAGTAGTTTGTCATTGCTTTCTGGACAGTCAGCTTTCTTGATACCACTGTCGAAACTAACGCAATGCGCATGACCCACAGCTGGGATCGAACCCGGGATTACGAAGCGTTTGCACCGACTTAGCCACAGAGACGACGGATACTATACTATCCCAGTGTAAATTCCGGGCCCCATTGTGTGTGTGGGCGGGGGGGGGGGGGGGTAGACACAATGCCCCTTAATACGCATGTCATAAGAGTCAACTAATTATGTGTGCTTCCTTCAGAGTTTATCTGTCTTAGAGACCAGAAACCAACAGTCTGCACACAAATAAGTCAGGCCTGTAAAACGAATGTTCCGACAAAACTCAAGATCAATAACAAGACCAATGTCCAGAAGTGGACAAGCAACCAGAACTTTCCGCCGGAGTTTACAGCTGGTAAACGCTTGGAAAAAGAAGACTGTACTAAACACACCAATAGCCAAACCCATTGACATTGCCTAACACTTGGGCTTAGCAACATCGGCTTGAAAAGAAAGAACGCATTCTATAGTGTTTAAAAAAAACAGAACGCGCTTGAAACATAAAGAGGAAAAACAACTCTAAATAATTGATACATATATTACATAAGTAGAATCTAGCTAGGTAGTGCACATACATATGGACTGAAAATTTTAAAAGGCAACAGAAAAAAAAAAATGGGAGATCAATTTTGTATTTTAAAAACTTTGTAGATAAACACAGCATGCTTTAAAAATGGTTCTTTTTCCCCTTGTCATATTAAATGCCGCTGTTCAACTGAATGACGGTTATAATTGCATTGTTCTGTGTGGTTATTTCTCGCCGCGTCTTGGCATGTTCTAGTGTTTATCCGTTCTGCTGAATGCCTGTCGTCTGAGGTATAGTGCCTATGATCTCGAGGCAGATCTGGCATAAGATGGTCCTATCCACTTCATTGTGTGTGTGTGTGTGTGGGGGGGGGGGGGGGTTAGTCCTGACAGAGATTAGTTCTGTCTTGTTTCGTGACGTTGCTGTTATTGTGTGATGTATTTGGTCTGTGTCTGCTGGGTTTCTCTCATCTAACTATTGTACTGTTTTTTTTTTTATCCCTCCCTCGACTGTTCGTCAACTTCTTGAAAGATGCAGCATAAATGCTTTTGTTTTTTTCTTCTACCTTTCTATCCCCCAATGGAGCATAGGCCCTCAGCAAACTTACGCCAAGTCGTTCTGTCCTTCGCTATTACAAGAAGCTCTCCCCATGTCCTTCCCATCTTTCTAACTTCATTTTCCAGCTCTCTTCTCCGTTTTTTTTTTTCTATGCCCCTTTGGGTTCATATGCAAAGACATTCTAGTTATGCTGTTCTCCTGTTTTATCATTGTGTGTCCTATCCAACGCCAGCGTCTTTTCCTCACCTCTTGGTCCACTGGACCTTGCTTAATTCTCTTTCTCGCATATTTAATTTATCTTGCATCTGATTCCGTGTAAGTAAAAGTAAAGGACGCCTTTAGGCGCGTCGGGCATATAGGGCATATAGGGCTAGAGCTATATTTGTATAGACCAATCGTCACAAGATAGGTGATGTGGTCAACATGACGCCTTCAGCCTTTACTTCCCGGGACTGCACCCGGTACCCACTCAAGGCTGGGTCGACCTGAAAGCCAAGGTAATTTTTTTTAAGAAGTCCGGCTCGTCCAGGGAGCGAACCCACGACCTTCCGATCCGCGGCGAGCGTCTAGCCGCCCCGCCACGAGATTCCGTGAATAGGACAGAAAAGAAATACCATCAGCGAAGTCCAGATCATCAAGCTGTTATGTAAAGGTCCACCGAATTTCATTCTTGGTGTTAGCAGTGAGTTGCTGTCTTCATAATCCAGTCTATTGGTGTTAGCAGTGAGTTACTGTCTTCATAATCCAGTCTATTGGTGTTAGCAGGGAGTTACTGTCTTCATAATCCAGTCTATTGGTGTTAGCAGGGAGTTACTGTCTTCATAATCCAGTCTATTGGTGTTAGCAGGGAGTTACTGTCTTCATAATCCAGTCTATTGGTGTTAGCAGTGAGTTACTGTCTTCTTAATCCAGTCTATTGGTGTTAGCAGGGAGTTACTGTCTTCATAATCCAGTCTATTGGTGTTAGCAGGGAGTTACTGTCTTCATAATCCAGTCTATTGGTGTTAGCAGGGAGTTACTGTCTTCATAATCCAGTCTATTAAAAAAAAGAGTAAAGGAAGCT